TTGTATGTGTTTGCTGTAATTGCTTCAGGCTTCTCCAGATGGAAGAGCCAGGGAATTGCTGCGTTGGTTCCTTCCCTTTTGGGCTGGTTCAGGAGGGCAGGAGGAAACTCTGGGAACTCTTTTAATGTCCAGAGAGGGCCTCTGTGCACAGGGCGTGCAGATCGTGTTTCTCAGCTTATTGACACTGCAAAAAGCCAGCCCAAAAATAAAACCTCGAAGCCTGTGGAAAGAGAGGGGAGGAGGGATTTGATGTGTTGTAATAAATGAAGAAACATTAAGTTCTGGAAAGCTGTGAACTAAGATGTATGCAGCACATTAATAATGCTTTTTAACATCCAGAGTAGTTAAGTAGTAGTTCCCACATTTTCAGGGACCTGTAGCACATGGATCTTATTTGTTTGTGTGTTTTACAGTGGCTCTGAAGAATATGGAGTCAATATTGCACATGGAAATTGATTCTTAGACCTGAAGTCAAGGGCTAAAATTAAAAGTACAGGTAGCTGGGATTTAACCACTTATTTTTGTTTATCTCTTAGATGAGAGACAGTGTGAGTTTGTCTTAATAAGAATATTCCTATTTCATCTTTAAAACACTTTAAATTTTAAAATCTTCCAAGTTCAGACTCGTGGGGCTGGATTTGAATGGCAGTCTAGGCACAGAATGGCCCATTCCTGTGTGAAAGGAGGGGTTTCACCTTCCCTCTGCCTTGCCATGATTGTTTTCAAACCCTCAACTGCAGCTCCATTTGTAGGGAGTGTTGAGCTGGCTCCAGTTTAATGGGATCTTCGCTGGGAAGGAATGTGGATAGAAGACACATGTGCAGAGATTTGCTGGCCTGTGTGAAGTTGGAATTACGGCTCTTGGAGGACACGGCGGTGCCAAGTCTTTCGTTGGAGCCACAAATTTATTCCCACCCAACCAAAGGAGTTTGGTGGCTTTTCTGGCTCCTTGGAGTTCACCAGAAAGCAGAGAGTGTGTGTGTGTGTGTGTGTGTGTGTGTGTCTGCAGGGAGGTGGTTCTGGGGAGTGCAGCTAAACCAGTTCACCAGAACAGCAAAAAAAGGCAGGATAAGGTTATTTCACCCTTTCCAGGCACTGACTCGCTTTAGGAATGGGGAATATTCCTCTAAGGACAGAGGATGGGGATGTGGTGGTGACAGTTGTTATTGTTTTCTGCTTGGAAAAGTGTCATTGCCAGAGTCTTTGAGAGGTGAGGAAGAATTCAGGAGGAATTTCCTCGTGGAAAGGGCTGTCAGGCCTTGGCAGGGGCTGCCCAGGGAGGTTTGGAATCCCCATCCCTGGAGGTGTCCAAGGAAGGGCTGGACATGGCCCTCAGTGCTCTGGGCTGGGGTACAAGGTTGGAAAATCCCTCCAGGACCAGCCAGTCCAACTACAGTTGGACTGGCTGGTCCTGGAGGGATTTTCCAACCTCAGTGATTCTGGGAGTCTGTAAATACAGGGCTTTGCTGTGAGTACACCCTTAGAACTGGAACATGAATGCCTGAGCAGGAATTTTTTTCCCCCCATCTCCAGTGCAGCTCAGATTACATGTTTTCATTAGACATCTGGTTCAATAATTGGTTCCTCACAAACGGGGAGGTTAAAACAATCACAGGAATAACGTTTTGGAGTCGCCGTGTGCAGTTTTAGAGATCTCTCCTCTCTGCTGTCGCCCTGTTTGCGTTTTTGGGTGTTTGCAGCAGGGTGGAAAATCCAGAGTTCCACATGAAAATGGGTTATTGGGTGGGGGGAAAGCACTTGGGGTCTTGCATCTAAATTTTTAAACCTATTTCATAGTATCGTAGAATCACTGGATATTTTGGGTTGGAAGGGACCTTAAAGTGCCACCAGTGCCACCCCCTGCCCTGGGCAGGGACACCTTCCACCAGCCCAGGTTGCTCAGAGCTCCATCCAGCCTGGCCTTGGACACTTCCAGGGATGGGGCAGCCACAGCTTCTCTGGGCACCCTGTGCCAGGGCCTGCCCACCCTCCCAGGGAGGAATTTCTTCCCAATATCCCATCTAACCTCCTTCTCTATCAGTTTGAACTCATCCCCCTTGTCCTGTCACTGCAGTTTGACCAAATGCTGTATGTTCCTTATGTAGTTTTGATGGAAACCAGGAATACCTGAGGATATTTTTTTTCCTACAGTGTTTTAAAACAAAAAGGGAGAAGTTTAAAAAAGGGGCAAATGTGCTTTATTTAATGTGGGACCAGTTCCCACTGGGCTGGTGAAATGCTGCTGTGTTTCACTGCTGCCATTCCCAGGGGAGGGAGGGAGGAATGAATGAAAGAATCATTCAGTCTGAGCTTCCCACCTGTCCTGAAGGATGATTTCCAGGAGTTTGTGCCAGTACTGAACACTCTTGGACAAGAGTGGAGTCAACTGTTGGACAAATAAAAGAGGCATCATTCCAAGGCCAAACATCCAGCACCTCTCCTGATCCCTGTTCTTTTCGCTTCCTGCAGATTGATTTAGAAACAGAAAGTAGCTGGTGTCAACAGATCCCTGCAGATGTCTTTAATCAGGTTCCAAATGTGTAACAATGGGACAAAGAAGCATAATGAAATCATGTGGTTTATTTTAACACTCTTTTGGGGTCAGGAGCCAAATTGTTTCTGCTGCGTTTGGTTCTTGAAGTTGTTGGAGGTTCTTGCCATGAGTTTTTCCAGGGTTGTGATCCATGCAAGGAAGGGAAGTAGGGTTTGACCCAGTGTTTAAGTGATTTGCAATGTGGGAAATACTCAAATTGTCCCTAAAATATTATTGGCTAAACTAATGTCCTTATTTTTCTTTTATTCCCTATTACTTTGTTTCAGTTTTACTCATGTTTAGTGCATTGCAGTGCAGCTCCTCCTGCTGCTGGTGCCTCTTCTCAGTGCAGAGCAAGCAACTCATCCCTCCTCCTTCTTTTCCTTCCCCCAGCCCTTATCTGGGAAAGATCCAAGTAGGTGAGAAAGGAGGAGTTTATAGAGATTCTTTAAAATGACATCTACCTTAATGGAAAAAAAAAAATTGTAAGCCCCAGAATTAAACGGGATAAACTATAATTGCAGAGAGCAGAGCTCTGTGTGTTTGTTTCCAAGGCTTTTAAAATCCAAGGTGTTAATTCTCCGTCATTAAACCCTCGTGTTGCTCATGGTTTGTCACACCGACCGCAGCGATTTGTGCTCAGGCCCTGCAGCCTCCGAAGCGGCTCCAGCCCTGTGATCTCAGCCAGGTTTGTTTTCCCCCCTGTTTACAGGTTCTGACTCACGGTGGTGTTCTCCTTTAATCCCAGCCCTGTCATTCCTCCTGGCAGCCTGTTCTTGCGAGGAGGTTGTGGCCAGCTGTTTGTGTACCTGTGGAAAAGAGAGGGAAACTTCTCACTCATGTGCGAGTGTTTCGGTGGCTCCTTTTGCTCTCTGGGGCGTGGGGGCTGCAGGGCTGGACCTGCAGCTGCTCCAGCTGCCTTTGGTTCATGGGAGAGTCAGTTTTAATCCTTTTTTTTTAATCATGGAAGGGCTCAAAAATATGAGTCAATAAGAGAAACCTTTAATGTGAAGACGAACTCTGAAGTGTGGTGGGTGGAGAAGCCCCTCTCTGAGGAAAACCTCTCATTCGAGTGGTTTTGGGTTAAATAAACACCATTTCTTTCTAACTTTGAGAGCAGCCCAAGGTACAGGGAATTAGGGCTTGGATTTGCAGGGGAATTATCCGTGGATACCTAAAGAGAACCAGGTGGGGAATATCACCCGCGGCATCAAAGATGCTTTTGTGCTGAGAACGACTGAATTAAGGTGTAACAAAGCTGCTCTGTCAACTGCCCCACCGTGTTCAGAATCTCTTTCCCTTTGCAAGCAGGAAATCTCCCGGCCCACACAGGAAAAGCAAAAGCAGTTGACAAAAGGCTGGTGATTTATCTCCTGACAGCCTCCCGCATTGTCAAACACGATTCCCTGATGCTCTGGATCTGGTGTGGGATTGATTTCCTGGTAGCCTGTAACCCAGCTGGAACCAGCACCACTGGTTCTCCTTCCTTGGAAATTTGGGATAAATCTAGTGGGTTTTGAAAATACCGTGTCCTGAGAGCTTGCAGGGCTGGTGAGCAACTGGCTGTTTGATTATTCTCTGGAAAGCTGTGTGCATAAGGCCCATTTTTTGTTCCTCAGAACACGCTGGTGAGACTCAAGGGTTAAATTCCCCACACTGTCGCATATGGCAGTGAGCAGAATCACAGATGTTGATGATACAACATAATTAGTATTCTTTTATGTAAATGAAGGCTGTCAATGTTACCATAGTGTCTATACTCTCTCAAGCTGGAATCTCTGCCACTTGGTCTCACCAAGCCTAGACAGGATTATTGCACAATTTTTTGTCCAGACCTGAGGAGAGAAATAAAGAAAGAGGGGGGAAGAAGGGTCAGGGAGGAAGGTGGGGAGGGAGGAAGGTGGGAGGGGATGTTTCCAACTTGGAAAGAGGAGACCAAATCGGTCCTTTGTTTAGAACAGGATTTCCAGAAGTGCCTTTTCAGGTCCTGGGATCTGGGAGGGAACGAGCCCAGCCCAAAGGAGAGGTGGGGAGGTTTCTGAGCCCCTTTGAATAAACAGCTCAGATGGTTCTTCAGGCACTGTGGGTCCCCCCAGGAGGCAGGGGCTGAAGTGGCCACTTGAGCTTTAATCTGGAGTGGAGGAGAGTGAAAGAACTGAAGAGCTTTGATTTTTTTCCTTAAGAGATTCCATCTTTAACAGCAATATCACCGAAAAAGGCAGTGAATAAAGCAGACTTGCATAATTTAGGGCCACTAAAAATGCATTTTCTTAGCCTGGCCAGGTCTCTGCCCACCCATCCAGGTGATGGCTCAATACCTGTCCCAAAGCCTTTGGCAGGGTGTGCTGGGGCCTTTGTTGTATTAAACTTTACCCCTCATAAAATGACTTTTTAACCAAATATTCTGTGTGCCAGGTCCCACACTCTCTGTGCCATCTGTAACCACTTTGTGCCTGGGATTGCTGTCCCCTGTCACTGCTCTGTGTGTGTTCAGTACCGCAGTCGTAGCTGTGGGAGCAACTTAATTCAGTCTCTCCTGGATTATTCCAACAGATCCATTTTTACAACCTCTTCTACCTTTTGGCAGGTTTTTACCCATTTTCCTCTCCTCTCTAGTTCTTATTTTGCTGCAGTTCACATTTGACGACTCCTCATTACTTCCTTTTTATTGTTTGAAGAATCACCTAGAAATGAAATTTATTCAGCACAGCTTTTTTTTTTTTTTTTTTAATCTTTTCCCCCATCTCCTCCCCCCTCGTTCACCAAGTGATCGAAGCAGCCAAAATCCAAGTGATCACAGGAGGGGCACGTTTTTCCTCACTTTTTTTAACTCCCATTTTTGCTCTGCCATATGTTGGGTCACCCACTACAAAAGACTCACGACGAAGAGGCCCCATGTGATCAGCAGATTTACAGCTTGCCCGAAAATGAAAGCAGAAAATGAAATTCCAGAGTGCCTCTTTGCGTGTGACGCGTGTGAACATCTGAGAATTTGGGTTCCTGGGTGTGAGCAGGCTTTGGCTTCCAGATAATTCCGGTGCCTGTAATAAAGGTGTTCCGTGTGCGCCGAGGGGGTTAATTAATGGTGCTCCAAACCAGCCCTGCCTGGGTTTGTTTCTGTGCATCACCAGAATATTCTCTCTCCAGGGCTTTGAAGATGGGCTGCCTCGCAGTGAAGACTTAACTGGTGATTAAATTCTCCCTGAAGCACCGGGACTCCCGTGGAACATGGGGCTGCTCCGCGCCCGGGACGCTGCGTGGCGGAGGAAAGGATGTGTGACCGCGGCCCCGTGAGTAGCGTGTGGGGCTGCCCTCCTTCCCTGGGACCAGAGCCTGCAGGGGCTGCACTGCACAATCCACAGCGCTGGCACGCCAGGGTTCAGCTGGGCTTTTCACAGGGCTGCACTCCTTGCACCTCCTCGGATGTCCCTGCAGTTCCAGTGGTTGCTCAGTAAATCAGCTGCTTTCTCTGTTTGTGTGTCCCACGTCCACACACAGATTTTCCTTTAGGTTTCCCCTGCGTGGTGCTACATGTTGAATTTTTTTTCCCATGCTGATTTTTTTTCAGCACTGGAATGTTTGGGAGGCTGTGGGAAATCGGGGAGTTCGGGGGCAGAATGTAAAGCCTGAGGACAAATGCTCTGGTTACCACCATTATCTGATATTTCAGTGGCTTCTGCCTGAAGTTGGTAACCTCAGTCTGGTTCCTGATGATATGCATTCCAATTCCAAATTCCTTTTGAGTGTATCAATTTCAAGGGGGCAGCTAAAGATCAAACGTGTGTGGGGACTGAATGAATCCTTCTCTCCGTGGATTGGGTCAGACGTGCTGGCAGCTGTCTGGGCCGGCCTTAGGAGACAGATGGAGCTTTATTCTCTAGACCTGGTCCATCCAATGTCTTTCACTGATGCTTTTAAAAAAACTGTGCACAGAAATAGTGTTGTTGGTTGAGGGATTGACAAAACACGACATGGGTGTTTTCATAGGTCTGGTACAAAAGGAGGGCAGTGGTCACGGCCCCAAAGGTGCCAGAGCACAAGGAGCGTTTGGACGATGCTCTCAGGCACAGGGTGGGATTTGGGGGTGTCCTGTGCAGGGCCAGGAGTTGGACTTTGATCTCTGTGGGTCCCTTCCACGACTCCACCCTGAACAGAAATGTTACATACCTGTCATGGCTCTAAAACCCTTTTCCCTTTCTTTTTTTTGCCTCGGCAGGTCAGAGCAGCGACGACTCCTGTGAGACATGGATAGATGCAAACATGTCGGGCGGCTACGACTCGCCCAGGACCACTCGATCCTGAACCCCCAGAAGTGGCAGTGCGTGGACTGCCAGACCACGGAGTCGCTCTGGGCCTGCCTCAAGTGCTCGCACGTGGCCTGCGGGCGGTACATCGAGGAGCACGCGCTGCGCCACTTCCAGGAGACGCGGCACCCCCTGGCCATGGAGGTGCACGACCTGTACGTGTTCTGTTACCTCTGCCAGGACTACGTCCTCAACGACAACCCCGAGGGGGACCTGAAGCTGCTGAGGAGCTCCCTGTCGGCCATCAAGGGGCAGAGGCAGGACGCCCCGGGGCGCGGGGGGCGGACGCTGCGCTCCATGGCGCTGGGGGAGGACGCGCGCGGCCGCCGCAGGAGCCCCCCGGGGCAGTCCCAGATGCTCACGGCGCTCTGGCACCGGCGCCAGGCCCTGCTGGCGAGGGCGCTGCGGACCTGGTTCGACAAGAGCTCTCGGGGGCAGCTGAAACTGCAGCAGAAGAAGCAGCTGGAGGAGCTGGAGAAGAAGAAGGAGGCGGCTCGGCAGCGGCGGCAGGAGATGAAGAGGCAGCTCCTGGAGGAGCTGGCGAACACCCCCCCCAGGAAGAGCGCGAGGCTGCTGTCCCACGTGCACAGGGAGAACTTGATTCCAAGGAAATTCAGGGAGGTGGCCTCCTCCCCTACCTCAAGGCAGGTGCAGAGCAGCAGGTTCAGACAGTTCTACTCCATCCGGCGCCAGCCCCTCATGACGCCCGGGGTGACGGGGCTGAGGAACCTGGGGAACACGTGTTACATGAACTCCATTCTGCAAGTGCTGAGTCACCTCCAGAAGTTCAGAGAATGTTTTCTGACACTCGATCTCTGTGAAACAGAAGAACTCTTGGCTAAAACTGTGAACGGGAGGGCCAGGATCCCTGGCAAACTGGCAAATGGGTCTGCTGCTAATGAGTCAGGGAAGACTGACAAAGTGGGATCATCTGGCACGCAGAGCTCGCCAGCTGGCTTAAATGGGAGCTCCTCCATAAGCCGGAGCTTAGAACTGATCCAGCCCAAGGAGCCGAGCTCAAAGCACATCTCCCTCTGCCACGAACTGCACACCCTCTTCAGAGTGATGTGGTCTGGCAAGTGGGCCCTCGTGTCCCCCTTTGCCATGCTGCACTCCGTGTGGAGCCTGATCCCGGCCTTCCGGGGCTACGATCAGCAGGACGCTCAGGAATTCCTCTGCGAGCTGTTGGATAAAGTCCAGCAGGAGCTGGAGTCGGAAGGAACGAAGCGCAGGATCCTCATCCCCTTCTCGCAGAGGAAGCTCACCAAGCAGGTCCTCAAGGTGGTCAACACCATCTTCCACGGGCAGTTGCTCAGCCAGGTATGGGCCTGCTCTGGCACAGGGATCGTTTGGAGCCATTCACACCGGGGAGCAAAGGCTCTGTGTGTTGAGGACCCCCAGATATGTGAGGAGTGGCTTAGGAGCACCTCCTGAGAAAGGTTGCTGTGCAGGTGTCAGCATTTCCATGCTTGTCACATTCATTATAAGTTCACTTGGCTTCTGTCACTTCAGGATGAAATCTGCACAAGCACAGAAGTTCTGACCCCTTAGATTTAATCTAAGTTTTGAATGTGATTTCAAAGTGTTTTTTCCTTTGTTTTGTCCCTTTTTGGTGGTGTTTCCATGCCTAGGAAGAATATGATGAGGGTCAGGGAGAGCATCTGATGTTTTAAAGAACAAGCTCTTTGACAATTTTTTTGCCAGCATATGAAAGTCACCTTGAGACACCGAATGTGCCAACTGTGAATTGGTGTTTCACCTGTAAAGGTGTTTGTCTGAGGAAGGAAGTAAATCCCAGAAAGGTGAAGAGAGAAGGAAGTTTTAAATTATTTGCTTTCAGACTGGACATCGAAGTGTTTCCCTTGACTCACAGATCTTTGTGGAACTGTTCTGCCTTTTGGGCACGAAGCTGCCCCGTGGCTGTGACAGTCAGTGCCAGTGTGCGGGTACAGAGCAGTATCTGTGTGTTTGTTCCATCCCCAGGTCACCTGCATAACGTGCAACTACAAATCCAACACCGTGGAGCCCTTCTGGGACCTTTCCTTGGAGTTCCCCGAGCGCTACCACTCCCTGGAGAAGGGCATTGTCCCAGTGCAGCAGGCAGAGTGCCTGCTGACAGAGATGCTGGCCAAGTTCACCGAGACCGAGGCGCTGGAGGGGAGGATCTACGCCTGCGACCAGTGCAACAGTGAGTGGGCTCTGGAGGCACCAGCTGTGTGCCTGGGGACGTGGCTTGTGGCCTGCCTGGGGGGGAAAACTCTGTTCTTCTGGGCTGCTCCTGCTGGTTTGGTTCCTGCCGTTGGTAGATGCTGCTCCTTCGGGCTCCCGTTGGGACCTGGCATGTCGTTTTTGCATCGGACGTGTCGTTTTTCTCTCATCTCTGCCGTTCAGCAGCACAATTCACTACAGCTTTGGTACAAGCCTGTTCAGAACTGCACTCACTTGTGTTGGAGGGGACTTAAAAGAATTTTTTGGGAGAGAGGGGGCTGGATTTAGAGGCAAAAGAAGGGCTTTATCCCCCGTGCTTTACTCATCTCTGCGTGGCAGGAAAGCTTTTCTGACACATCATCCCTATGCTGCTTGTTCTTGATTGAATCCTTGACCCAGAAATCAGAGTTCTCAAGGTGTGTAGCTGTGCCAGGTGAGAGTTTCATCCCTCTGTGGGCATTTGCTGGGAAGCACTGACCTGGCAGTATCCAGGGAGGCTCAGGTAATGTGTTATTACCTGGGAGGTGATGCACAGATTTTGCTGTGCTCAGCTAGTAGATGACTTTGCTTTCCTGCAGCAGCTCTGAGTGAAAGGTCATTATATCCCTGAAAATCATTTTAGCCTGTGTGTTATCATTCAGCTCAGCCACTCTGATAAGCTGGATTTGGATTCTTTTTCATGCAGGTATTTATGGCAAACGTTCATTCCCTTGGGAGGAGAACGCCAGTGATTTGACTTGCATTGCAACTAAGCAGCTGGAGTAGCAAATACTTGTAGAGATCTGTTCCCTGTCAACTGGCAAATCTGTTACCAAACATCTTCCCAGAGTGTTAGGAAATAATCCTTGACTGGATGTTCTTGGAAAAAAGCCAAATATGATTTGAATGGATTCTGATTCACAAATAACGTTCACAAATTGTCGATGCGGATGAGTTCAGCTTCATCTTAACTCAGTTTGCTTTGATTCTTTGTGAAAGCTGAATTTTAATGGTTACTTCAGAATTAAATGGCTTGGGAAGCATTAACCAGCTGGAAAGAGTCAGGGAAAGGCACCAGCCCGAGTCCAGGTGCCAGGAATGATCTGGGCAGCGCGTGTCAGACGTGCTGGAGGAGGAGGCACCCATCTGTTCTGAACTGGTGCACTGAGGTGCAGAAATCTAATTAACAGGTACATTTCTTATTGGAAGCTCTGACAGCCACCTGTCCTCCTCCTGGGACAGTCATATGTTCAGTGTCCTGCAAAGAGCAAGCACTGGGAAGAGGAACCGTTCTCCCTCTTCTCCAGCTTTGCTTCAGGGGCTGTTTGCTGTTGGTGGAATTCTGCTGGAAGCATTTTCTGACTTATATTAATACCCTTGGGCTAATGCAGGCTGCTACAAGCCTTATTCTAGTGCTGTAAGAAGCTCAAAGTAGCAGACAGAATAAGATAGCAGGTACTGCTCTTTGTGTGCTGGAGTTGCCCTGTGGGAACTGGAGCTGCTGCAGCCCCAGGTGTCTTTGGCCTTGGCTCTGTCTTGGTGTTCTCGGTGTATTTCTCGGGGCAAAACATCAGCACAAGCAGCTTGAAGGTGACAACTGATTGTGTGATTATGAGCATCACAAAAGGGGGAGTTCTGATCCTGGAGAAGTTCCTGTGGAGGGATTCCTAAATATTTACTTGTGTGTCCATCCCGAGCACACCTGAGCCCGACTGCTGCTGGAACAAAGAGGTCATCATGTGCTATTTTTCTCTCCTGGGAAGTGATCAAATCCTAACAATCCTTCTTGCCTTGATTTTTTTTTTTTGGGTGTTTTTTTTTTGTCAGGCAAACGGCGAAAGTCTTCTCCTAAACCTCTTGTTCTGAGTGAAGCTAAAAAGCAGTTGCTGATCTACAGACTACCTCAGGTCCTCCGGCTGCACCTTAAACGCTTCAGGTGAGGGGACACTGGCCTCTACTTTTTGGGAGGAACTGTGGGCCCATAACTTCTCTCAGTTCCTGCTAAGTGCAGATGGATAACCTGTTACCCACCAGGCATGTGAAACCCTCTCACGCTGCAATCAGGGGCAGTTTCGTAGCGTGCAGATTTGTTTGCAGCATCTTTTCTGCCACACCCCCCATGTAATGTTTCGTAAATATTAGTCCTGGTTTCCTTGAGTTGTCCTCGAGGGCCTTTGCTGGGTTTGCAGGCAGCTTGGAAGGATGGCTGGGAGATGATCAGTCGATGAGCCGAGAGATTTGCTGAAGGTGGAAGGTTGTGAGAGTTAAATGCCAGTGTTGTGTATTTACCTGTTGAATAAATGGCAGACAAAACTCAAAATATTATGAAAAGCCTCTAAAATGGTTAGGCCAGGTGTGTGTGGGGGTTTATTGATAGAACTGAGGATTTTAAAGGCTGCTTGGCTGTTGTGATCTCAACAATATCCCCGCTAATGCCATCAGGGACAGAAGGAGCTGTGTGTGCAAGGTGGCTGTAGGAGATTTTCGAGTGAAAACAAGGGAAACAGTTGGTGATGCTTCACTGGAGGGCTGTGGAGCAGTGTCTGCCTGTGCACCCCCCCCAGCCCGGAGCAGACCCCAAGTCTCTGATCCCTTGTGTTCGCAGGTGGTCTGAGCGCAATCACCGCGAGAAGATCGGGGTCCATGTCCTCTTTGACCAGGTATTAAACATGGAACCTTACTGCTGCAGGGACTCTCTCTCCTCTCTTGGCAAAGAGACCCTTGTGTATGACCTCTCGGCTGTGGTGATGCATCACGGGAAGGGGTTTGGCTCAGGACACTACACAGCATATTGCTACAACACGGAGGGAGGTGCGTGTGCCTGGGGACGGGGGGCCCGACCCCACAAACCCCTCTTTTACCCCGCAGCCGTGGCCTGCTGGGGAGCTTTGTGGCCAGAGCTCCTCTGGGCCCGGCTCAGCAGTCTGTGTGCCCCGCTGTGTTCCCGGTGGCGCGGTTGGTTTGTGACTCCCCCCTCGCGCGGAGCCCCCTCGGGGAGCCTCTTCGTGCCCGCTGGGAGCGCCGTGAATGCCTCATTTTCTCAGGCAGAGTCACTCCGTGGAGCTGCTCCAGCTGGGTGCCTTTGCTCGGGTATCCTTGGGATGAGGAGATAAACAGAAAGTGTTTTGAGACCGGACAGGAACTATTCATGAATAACATCCGCAGGGGGTGGTGCGGCTCCAGCAGCTGAATTGGTATTGACTCTGCCTCCTGGCTGGAGAAAGGGGGACAAATTGGCCATCTCCAGGGGGATTCTTGTCTCTGCCTAATTGAGCTTATGGGATATTATATATCACTGATTAAATTAAGATTTGGTATTTCTAAAGTGCAAAAAAAAAAAAAAAAAAAATAAAAAGGCTCAGAATGTTTTCCGGATAGAGGAGGACAGAGATGCTTTTTCTCCTGCGTTGTGGATGTTTCCTATGAACAGTTTCAAAATGCATCCAGGAGGAATTCTGCCTCCCTTGCTGATGTCCTCTTTCTCCCTTTGCTCCCCAGGGTTTTGGGTCCACTGCAATGACTCCAAACTGAATGTATGTAGCGTGGAGGAGGTGTGCAAGACCCAGGCCTACATTCTCTTTTACACTCAAAGAACGGTGCAGGACGGAGCAGGAATCTCAGAAAGACAACTCCAAGCTCAGGTGCCACCCAGAAACAGTGAGAAGGACGGCAGACTGCCGTTCCCGTGACGGGGAGCCCTGTCAGCACTCTCAGCTCCTTCTGGAACCATTGGTGTTCACATCCTTCCTCTCCATGGGGAAAAACGCTGCAGGAGTGGGATCAGAGCGGGATCTTTGCCACCTGGGGAGTTCTGGTGTTGTCAGAATCTCGGTTTTGCGGAGTCTCGTTGCTCAGTCAGGCTCACAGGAGTGCGATTAGGGAGGTTTTGATGCTGTGTTTCATCTCACGTGGGAGGAGGTGCCTGAGGTCTGTGACAAGGGAGCACAGCCAGGACAGAGGAGCATCCCCCTGGCTTCACAGCCCTGCAGTCCCCAGCCACCCTGGTCAGGGTGGCTGGGGACTGCAGGGCTGTGAAGCCAGGGGGATGCTCCTCCATCATCAGCCTGGGGGCAAAGCCCTGGCTGAATCTTTGCCAGCAGCTCTGTTGTGTCAGTGCCACCAGGGCTGTGTCACACCCCGTGGTTTATTCTCCGGGCTGAACTCAACTGGCAGCTAAATTCACTCAGAATGTGATTTCAATACAGTTCTTCTCTGGAGAAAGTGTGTTTAAACACAAAAAAACCCCTATAATAAACCAGGAATGTACCTGTGTGGTGCCAGAGCTGGCGGCAAAAACAAAGCCTGTGCTCCAGGTTTCTGCTGGAGTGGCATCACTGTCCCCAGGACTGTGAGGATTGTCCAGGCTGTGGCTTGCACAGCTGTGGCAGAGGAGGTTGGTGGTGTGGGGGCAGCTCACAGTGGCAAAATCCCTCTTTGTTACAAAAACGTGGCTTGTTCTCCTCGGGGGAGCAGAGTGGTGGGAATGGCACAGTGTGGGATTCTGTCAGCGCCTCTGGAGCGGGAACAGTCATTAGCTGTGGTTGTCACACGAGCCCAGACCAAGGGGAGGTGGCCCTGGATCCAGGCAGTGCCCAGAATTCACCCTGTGAGGTCTCTGTTCCTGCTGGGCCACCGAGGGAAGGAACGGAGTTAAATCTCAAATTCCACATCGAGTTGGAGAGGCTACAGAAATGTCTGTATCTGAAATCATCCTGATTTTGGAATCCTGTGAGAAGCACAGAGCCTTAGTGGACTATTTGTAGTCACTTCTCAGCCTACAGTTGCACCTCAGGTGTGTTTTTGTAATTTGGGGTTTGGCTGTTCGCGTTTCATGTTTTAATCTGAATGTGGAACTGCAGAAGAAAACCCCCCCAACACTTTGATGTCTTTCAACCTTGGCTATTTTTTTAATGGTTAAAAGGTGAAATAATCTGAAATACAAGGTTCTTCAAAAAAAATGGTTCCATGTTCAGGGGTAGGGAAGTTGTCCAAGTGTGTTTCTCCTCTTCCCTCTTCTCCTTTTATCCTTGTCGGTGTTTGCCCCTCAGACACACCCGTTGTTGTGGGAGGGGGTGAAAAGGGGAGTCTCCCAAATCCCACTCCTCTTCCCACTGCCCCTCCTGGGACTTTTACCCACCCTGTCCTTGGGCAAATTGAGCCCAGCAAGAAGAAATTTGGGTTGTGCCAGAGCACAGCATCACACGAGGTCTCCTCTGCCCTTCAAGCCTCCCATTTCCTGTGTGTCCTGACCAAGGTGCTGCTTTTTGAGCCTAAAAGAATGTCTTTTGGACAATTCAGTGTCGTTCTGAGATCACATTCTCTTTATTTTTTTGGAGGCAGTTTGCAACAGTCCCGATGAAAAGGGTTTGGTTTTGGTTCTCTAAATGTAGCAAGGGCTGGAGGGATTTATGAATGTCTTTGTATTTACTGGGTGGGGGATTTTTGGTGCTACCAGTAAATGAAATCAATAGTGATGCAAAAAAAAATGCAAAGTAGGCCAAATTGAGATCCAATAACAGCAAATGTGACTGCAGGGGAAGCTGAGTTGGGCTCAGCCAGGGAGAAGGTGACATTCCTGAAGGAATCAGAGGTGCTTGTGATTGTCAGATACGTGATGGATTCGTTCTGGAGCAAATTATGCTCCGTGAGGCAGAGAAAACTCAAATTAAAGGCAGGATAGTGCTTAGAATCGCCTTTTTCATCTGAGGTGGGAGGGAAGCCTGGTGTTTTCCCCACACATGTGTCCCTCCAGGCCTGCCTGCCCTTTAAGAGGATTATATGTGGTTTGCTCTGCTCCCAGCTGGCCCCTTGGTTCCCTCTCCCTGCATCCCAAAGCCATGCTGGCCCTTTTTTTTGGATAAAAATCCCGCAGAAAGGCAAACCCACTGCAGCAGCAGTTGTTCCTGCAGCGAGCCCAGGCTCTGTGCCATCAGTGCTCATCTTTTGACTGAGTGTTTGGCATTCGTGTTGGAATTCAGGTGGAATTGCAGCTGTAGGGGGGAGGTGTGTCACAGGGAGCTGGGAGTGCTCCCATAGCCAGATTTTGTAGGGTTTGAGGTGACATTCTCTATAGTCCTGAGTCTCCAAGGGACATCAGCTGGGCTGGGGGGATCCTGCAGCCAGGAAAACAACTGCCCTGATAGGGAAGGAATTAAATAAACTCAGATAAACCTGCCTTTCCCAGCACTGTGGGGGTTCTGGAATATTTAGCTTTTATTTGGAAGCGACAGCGTATGGCACTTTTGATGCTGGTTGGTTTATGGTTGGCTCCTGCAGGCCTGAGACAGGCAGAGCCCAAGGCTCTCTCCGTGTGGGCACTGTTTTAGAGTGTCCTGTTCGCCAGGAAGTCTCATGGAAGTCACCCCCTCCATCAGTAAGGAATTCCAGGGAAGCCACTGAGGTGTGTCTGACCAGGGGAGCCTCCAGAGCAGATCTGTCCCTGCTTAACCGTGTGGCTTCCAATTCTGCCCCTGCCCTGATGCAGATTTAGAGTGAATTGCAGTTTTAGGCTCTGTTAGAATTGATTATTGGAATGAATACCAGTTTTACAGGTAGATGAGGTGACCTGAGTCCTGTCAGGAGTTCAGCAGTGACAGCTGTGAGTGCAAACCCCATGTCTGCAACATAAACCCCTTTGTTTTGGTACAGCTGGGAGCAAGTCTGGTGTTCCATGTGCTGAGATTCCTGTCCTGGGGATCCACTCTGGCAGCAGGAGCCCTGGGAGATGCTTAGAGCAAGTGAGAGGTCTGTGGCACCTCCCAGGTTGTTGCTGAGGAGCAGGAAGTCAGGCTTGGGAGGGAACTGTTCCCAGGATATCCTTATCCCATCCAACCTGTGAGTAAATGGGATTTCCTTAATTCTGTGTTTCTGAGAGTGAAGAATCTTCATGTGCCCATGGCCAGGTGTGACCCAGCATCTGCTGTAGCAGTTGGAAACCACTTTATTGCAGGTAACTTTGTTCCACTTAGCAAGTTGGTCACATAAATTTGCCTTTATTGTCCCTTTTCCTGCCCGTATTCCCAAGCTAAACTATGCATTCCACAAAAAAAAAAAAACAGTTTCTCTGCAAAGCACTGAAAATAACTTCCAGTTTTTTACCCCTGAACCAGTCTCTGGTCTGGCTTTGAAGCTGTCCATGTGAGGCAGCAAGTGGGATAACAGACCTGCAGTGCTGGATGTCAGCCTTTGCTGTGCCACTCCTGCTGACCTGGGGACTGGGAGCCAGGATTAAATTGTTTTATTTTTTAGATTTTTTTTCTTAATGCCAGCCAGGCCCAGTCCAGCCGGAATCTGTCAGAGCAAGGAGTAAAAACTCCAGGGGATTTTGGTGGGAAGCACCTTCTGTTCCAAACCTCATGCTAATTCCTGGTTTAGAAATGGAAAAAAAAAAAAAATCCCAGTTGCCATTGTCCTGGCAGCAGTGCTGCAGGATGGGCAGGATGCTTCCACTTCTGGAAGCTGCCCTGAGTCAGGGCAGAGTTCAGGCTGATCTTCAGCACCTCCAGACATTTAGTCCTGCTCTCAGTTGAGGTTCCTGGCAGGGAGCTGTTGGCAGAGGCTGGACAGGACAGGAGTTTTCCCTCAGTATGGAATCCCCTGGCAGCACCTGTGAGAACAGGAGGGAAGTGCTTGTTTGGGTGAGGAGCCAAGCTGGAGCTTGGGTGGATTCCCTGGATTTATCAGTGGATTTAAGTCAGAACAGCCTCGAGTTTCTGCTCCAGCTTCATTCCTGACATCACTAATGAGCTGAGCTGACTTGTGCCAGGCTGGGAGTGTCCTCCTCAAGGACACTGCCAGGCAGCAGCAAGTGAGGGAGAATCCAGTTAATCAATTAATTAATGAAGGGCTACAAGGATGGTGAAGGCTCTGGAGAGGAAGCCTCGTGAGGGGTGGCTGAGGGCACTGGGCCTGTTCAGCCTCGAGACTGAGGGGAGAGCTCAGGGGGCTGCAGGTTCCTCACAAGGCCAGCTCTGAGCTCTGCTCTGTGTGAGCAGGGACAGGACCCAGGGAATGGCTGGAGCTGTGCCAGGGGGCTCAGGGTGGATCTCAGGAAAAGGTTCTTCCCCCAGAGGGTGGTTGGCACTGAACAGGCTCCCCAGGGCAGTGGGCACAGCCCCAAGGCTGCCAGAGCTCCAGGAGGGTTTGGACAATGCTCTGAGGGACAGGGTGGGATGTTGGGGTGTCTCTGCAGGGCCAGGGGTTGGTCCTTGTGGGTCCCTTCCAGCTCAGGATATTCCATGATTCCTGACTGTTCCTGGCAGTCTGTCCAGCTGCCTCCTGATCCTCATCAGCTTTTCTTCCAGTCAGGTTTGTTCCCAACATCCCCAAGTCACCCCTGGCAGCCTCCACGGGCACGGCCTGGCCCCTGCCTGACCCCAGGCTGGGGGGGATTAGTGTGAGTAAATCAAAACTAAGATTAACTATAAAGGGACTGAAATGTTCTAATTAATCCCCTTTTCCTGCAGAAACTGTTTCTGCATAACTTGGATTATCCCAACTTCAAAAGAAATTTCATTTCTTTACAGGATGTCCAAACACCAGCTTTGAAAACAGCATTTTTAAGGATTTTTATGGGGAGTGGAGTGAGGGTTTGTTTTTTTTTTGAGGTGGGGGAGCAGGTGAGGGGCAGTTCTGTCCTCCAGACGTGGGAACAGCTGCTCCAGGAGAATGTCCTGAACTAAAACCCCGTGAAATTGTCCAAAGAATGTGAAGCCATGCTGCACCCCACTGCCACGGCTCTCAGGGCTGGGAGCTCCTCCTGCTCCTCCACAGCACCTTCCAGGAGCACCCTGTGAGTAAATCACAGCCTCAGCTCCCCCGTGGTGCTTCCACCGTCCCGGCAGCTGTTCCAGCCTCAGCCCAGGGCACCCCATGCTATGCAACACCAAACGGCTTCTCCTCCCACACGCAGCCATGGCTCCTCTGCATCCCCCAGCCTTCTCCCACATGGACTTTTCCCAGGAATCCTGGTGGCTGGAGCTCCCCTGGGGCTCGTCCCGGCTCAGATTTTCCTTTGCAGAAGCAGCAGATGGGTCCTGGGTGCAGCCCAGGGCTGGGTTCGGCCCTTTTTGTCTCTCGGGTGTGAAATATAAATCATGTTTTTATGATTTTTTTTTTGTAAATCTTTACTCTTTTTACACCTTGTTTTTGTAAGCTGAAGTTTCTTATTAAAAGGGAAAAAAAAAAAAAAAAAAAAGAAGAAGAAATTCCAGCGGGCTGTGTTGTTATTCCATAGACTTTAATAAACATCTGGGTGGGGGGAGAGGAGGAAATTCCACAAACATCCTTGAGAAAACCATTCTTGTTGTGCCTTGAGGAATGAATTGGAAATAAATTCTTCCTCTCAGCCTTAAATCTTTCCCCCTTGTCACTGCCTGGAGCAGGACAGGAGGGGCTCTGAGCAGCAGCTCTGCAGGGGAGGAGAGCCTCGTCCTTCCAGGAATGCAGCGAACCCGGCGCGGCCCAGCACGGCTCCGGTCCCAGTGGGAGGGCGAGCTCTGCTCCCTGCAGCTCCAGGAATTCCTGGGACAGGGATTCAGCGGTGTTAATGGAGGTGGTTTCTGGCACGTGGCAGCTCAGTAACAGCTTTACAGCCCTTCATGAGGTCAAGTCAGGGGTCATTGGGGTGTCTGTGCAGGGCCAGGGGCTGGACTGGAGGATCCCTGTGGGTTCCTTCCAACTCGGGGCATTCCATGGTTCCAAGCACAGCTGTTCCCACCTTCCCAGATCCCTCCTGGTCCCCTCCCTGCCCCTCACCCCGGGCTCACCGGCTCTACGGGACGGGCTGCGGGGCCATCAGGTCGATGTCCGTCAGGTTCCGGGCGACCCAGACCCCGGCAGCGAACAGCCCCAGGTTCACCAGCAGGTTCCTGCAATCCCAGAGACATTTCAGCTGGAAAATCCCTCCAGGACCATCGAGCCGAGCCTGTGTCCGATCCCCACCTTGTCACCCAGCCCAGGGCACTGAGTCCCACATCCAGGCCTTCCCTGGACTCCAGCTTTTATACTGGTTTATGTTTACATAACTCCTAGTGCAGAAACATCTGGTTTCCTTCTCCCTGACCAGGGCTCAAGGGGGAAAACCAAGGGAGTCAACCTTGACCATTCATCTCCTGCCAAACACGGCCAGGCATCTGATTCCATGGCCTTGACGGGCCTCCAAATGCGGAAAGATAAATATGTTCCTTCACTAATGATCAGTTCGTTAACGAGCTGATGAAACAAAGTTTGTTGGAAGGTTCATCGAGGGGTCAGCTTTGGCTCAGGGCCTGTTGTTCAGGCCTCAGAACTTCACGTTTTCCATGGAGAAATTCCTCCTGATGTCCAGCCTGAGCCTCCCCTGGCACAGCCTGAGGCCGTTCCCTCTCCTCCTGTCCCTGTTCCCTGGGAGCAGAGCCCGAACTCCCCCAGCTCCCCCCTCCTGTCAGGGATTGCAGAGCCAGAAGGTCCCCCCTGAGCCTCCTTTTCTCCAGGCTGAGCCCTCCCAGCTCCCTCAGCTCTCCTGGTGCTCCAGACCCCTTCCCCAGCTCTGTTCCCTTCCCTGCACACGCTCCAGCCCCCCAGTGTCCCTCCTGAACCGAGTGACCAGAACTGCACACAGGATTTGAGGTCCCAGCAGCGCCAGCACAGGGGGACAATCCCTGCCCTGCTCCTGCCGGACACGCCACTGCTGGGACAGGACGGGCAGGAACCGGGAGGGGGGCTCCCGATCCTGGTCTCAGTCCCGGACGCGATCCAAGCTCCGGTCCCGCTCCCGGATTTGATCCCGTCCCCGCTCCCATCCCGTTCCCGATCCCGTCCCCGCTCCCGGTGCCCCCGCACCTGCGGAAGTCGTTCCGGTCGGTGGCGAAGCGGAACGCGCTGCGGAGCCACGCGCGGAGCCCCCTCGGTGGGGCCGCCACCGGCCCCGATCCCGACCCCGCTCCCGGTCCCGGTCCCGGCGTTCCCGGCCCCGCTCCCGCCGCCGCCGCCATTGCTGCCCCCGCGCGCGCCGGGCGATGGCGTCACCGGCGCGGCGTGACGTCACGCCCGCCGCATGACGTCACTGCCGGCGCTTAGCGCCACGTGGGGCGGGATCGGGATCGGGATCAGGATCGGGATCAGGATCGGGATCAGGATCAGGATCAGCGCGGGGCTTCCCGGCACCCCTCGGGTCCGGGTTGGGCTCGGCACCCCGCCGAGCTGAGCAGCACAGGGAGGAAGGGGGTGGGACTCCCGGGAGCCGCACGGTTTTTGGGGTGTTCTGCGTGTCAGTTTTTATACCTCTTTTCTGTTAATCAAGCCCATTCTTAAATTTAACCTTTGCAGTGACTGGTTCCATGAGGTTGTGGATGTTTATTCTGAAACAGTCCCTGCTCAGTTCCACGGAGCTCTGCTGGTTGGAATCGCTGATGCTCAGACCGGGAGGGGAAGGGTAAAGGGTTTCCAAGCAGCATAAATGGTCCAGTGACTTCTTGGTGGGGTTTCTGTAGTTGCACACTCCAAACACAACACTCCCAACAGTCCTACACGTGGTGCTTCGCCCACCAATTAAAAGGTTTTCCACCTTTTAATTGCAGCTGCTTCTTCCATAGGATCCAACCCCGATTATTTTGTCAGACTGTTTGCAGCAGTCCTGCCACGCTGTCCGTCCGGGCTGCAGCCACGTTTGTCCCTGCTGCTGCATCCCCTTCCCAAATCCCAGCGAGCTAATTGATTTATGGCTATTAGGGGCTCTAATTAGCGGGCCAGCTGGAGAGCTGCGTGTTATCTGCCCGGTGGGATCAGCCCTGGGAAGCAGCCAGCTCCGCTGGGCCGGGGGCTGCCCCGACCCCACTCATTTGGAGTCTTGGAAGGGTTTTACTGCACCTCACACTTGGGGTTTTCTCTTTCATCCCCTGCTCTGCTGGCATTTGGGATCAGAGAGCTCCCCCGGAGCCTCCCTTCTCCCCCCTTATCTCCTCCCCCGTCCCGGCGAGGTCGCGGCACCGTCTCCATCCCGGGGTGGATGCAGGAATTTGCATTGCTGTGCGGACCAGTTCAGACCAGTTCGTTATCAGCGCGTTCCCAGCCAGCCCTCCCGCTTGTGCCGCGGGTGTTCTCGGGCAGGCAGAGGTGAGAAATGCCCCGGGGGCCGGGCGGGATGTCTGCACCTCGCACCGACACCTCTGCCCGGTGCTAACGAGCCCCGGGAGCGTCACTGCCAGGGGGGATGCGGGGAGATAAGGGGGACGGGAGGCTGGAGGCGCCTGGCAGAGGTGCCTGAGCTGGGTGGGCACAGGGTTTGGGAGACCCCCTGAGCCCCGTCCCCGGGGCTGCTGGCGAGTGGTGATGCTGCAAGTGGGGCCCAAACCCGGCTGCAGCGGCAGGAGGTGATCGGGACGCGTTGGGAGGGACGGACACGTTGGAAAGAGATCGGGACGCGTTGGGAGGGACGGACACGTTGGAAAGGGATCGGGACGCGTTGGGAAGTGACGCACAGGGGCAGCTCCAGCAGCCCCCGGTCCGTCCGCGTGCCAGCGCCGCTCCCCCCGCGTGGCAAAGGTGGGTGCGATGGGAGGGTCCCGTCCTGCCAGGGCGCTCCGGACCCTCTCACCCTTCTCCTTTCCCCTCCTCGACCCTGCAGGCTCTGCTGCAGCCCCGAGGGAGGGGGGCCTGCTCCCCCAAATATCCCGGCACAAGGGTTGGAGCATCCCGGGGACTGTGTGGTTGATCCAGATGATGCTGGAGCTGGGCGGTGGCAGGCGCTGGCTGGAGGAGGGGGTTGCACGGTGTGCAGGGACCCCCCCTTGCACAGATGCTCCATGCCCTGGGGGTGCAGGGACCCCCTTTGTGTACCCTGGGGGTGCAGGATTCGTGTTTCGGGGTGGCTGCGCAGAGGTGGGGTCGAGGCAGACCCAGGGGCTGATGGGGTGCCGTTCGAGGGTCTTTCGTCCCACTCCGCTTTGAGGCCGGTTTGCTGATGGACCCGAGATTCCCGGAGGATCTTGGGCTGTCAGGGATCAGGGAAGGGGCGCTGCCCGGGGACTGTGATCCCTCGGTAAGGAGTGTTTGCTCTTGGAAGCAGAATCAGTGCCGGGAGCGTGACTGGAAGAGGAGGGAAAACTCCCAGGGGGAGGGACAGGAGCGCTCCGGGAGAGCTCATCGGGGAGGAGGATCGGTTCCCGCCACACACTGGAGTGGAACGAGAGGCTGGGGGAGAGCCGGCGACCACAGCGAGCGGAGCGAGGTATGGGATACAGGACCGGGCCGGAGGGGTGCAGGGTTGGGGTGTAGGGGTGCAGGGTTGGAGTCTGGGGGTGCAGGGGTGCAGGGTTGGGGTGTGGGGGTGCAGGGTTGGAGTCTAGGGGGTGCAGTGTTGGGGTCTGGGGTGCAGGGTTGGGGTCTGGGGGTGCAGGGTTGGGGGCTGGGGGTGCAGGGTTGGGGTGTAGGGGTGCAGGGGTGCAGGGTTGGAGTCTAGGGGTGCAGGGTTGGGGTCTGGGGGTGCAGGGTTGGGGTGTGGGCGTGCAGGGTTGGGGTCTGGGGGTGCAGGGTTGGGGTGTAGGGGTGCAGGGTTGGGGTCTGGGGTTGCAGAGCTGCAGGTCAGGAGTGCATAGGTGCAGGGTTGGGATGCAGGATTGGGGTTCAGGGATGCAGAGCGCTCCACTCCGTACTTCAGTGCTGCTTTGCGGGACCCGAGACTGCCGTGCCAGGTAAAACCACAATTTAGGGACAAAAGAGCAGTTTTTCTGTTTCCCTCCGGCCCTGCCCAAGGGTGGTCCCTGCCGAGGAGGAATGGTCGGTGCCCGCACTGCCATCCACTCCTGCCAGCCCGGGGCCAGGGTGGCTCTGCAGCTCAATGCCCGGCGGGGTCGGGGTCGAAGCATCCCCCAATCTCTGACCCCCACAGCCCAGCGGGGAGGCTGCCCTGGGGAACCTCCCTCGTCCCTGTGGAGAGCCCAGACTGTCCCGTGGGAGCAGGGATGGAGCCTGGAGTGGGGCTGGCACCCTGCTGCAATGCCAGGCTGGCTGGGGGCTCGTCCAAGTGCTGTCCCCGACACTGGGCCGGGATCCCGTAGGACAACATGGGGCAATGCCGCGGGTGCTGCCACCCGTGGGGTTGGCACAGGGCGACGAAACGTGGCTGGGAGTGAGCAGAGCCTGGGGCAGCCAAGGGGGTGCCAAGGCACTGTGGGTCCGTGTCCCCACTGGCACAGGCAGCGGGTCCGTGTGGCCCCGGCTCAGCCGTGCCCCGTGGTCCTCGCCGTGGCGATGCCATGTGGCTCTGGGGGTGTCCTGGCGCTCCGGGAGCAGCGCGGGTGGCACCTGGGGGCAGTGTCCCTGAGCCGGCAGTGACGTCCTGTGGGACGTGCTCACCCTCGCCTCTCCCTTCCAGCGGATCCCGCACCCCCGAGGGCCCCTCTCCGCCCTGGGACGGGGGCCAGGCCGTGCTTCGGGCAGGATGTCCCCCCCGCCAGGCCGCAGGAGGGGCTTCCCCAGGGAGGTAGGTGGGTCTGCGGCGCTGCCAGGGCGGGTGGGAGCGCAGGAGCTTTGCAGGGCGAGGATGGGCACCCTCTGCTCCATCCCCCGGGGTGCTGAGGAGCCCGGGGAACATCGCTGCGGTTTGGGGAACAACTGGGAACAGTCTGGGCCCTCGGCCAGCAGAGGAGGTGGGTGGGCTCCTGCTCAGCGTCCGGCCAGGGCAGGGTGCAGTGGGGGTCTCACCACTCTCATCTCTCCACAGCCCGGCCCGAGGTGGGATGGAGCAGGGCCGTGCCCCCCTCACGGCCCCGAGGACGCCTGGGATGAGCCGCCCTGGAAGCACTGGCGCGGGAGGGGCCGGGGCGGATGGTGCCGGGTAAGGGGCCGTGTGGGGGGCAGATGTGCCGGGGGCAGAGTGGGACCTTCGGCCACACTTCATGGGGGAGACGCTCCCTGGGGGGAGCCCCCAGGCACAGAGCAGCCTGGACACATGTGGGTCCAGCCCCAGCCTTGGCCAGAAGTTTGTTTCTAAAGGATTATACGGATGTAATGGAGGCTTCACGTCACGGCTTCCTCCCACAGGGTTAAGAAGGGCAAAACAAATACATTTACATAGGTAAAATAAATTATTTATTTCCACTGATGGTGATTAGACTGAGGGGCCTTAATCACATTATAGATGGTTGTAACCATTGCTACAGTGCACTGTTTATTAAATCAATAGTTTCAAAGTTAATAATTACTAAGTAGAGATTGATGTTACTCACCCAGACCAACACAAATCTCTTTGGCTCAGCCTCGGGGAGGAATCTTGAGGGGTGTCCCTGCTCCAGGGAGGAATCCACACACACTCCTAGGAGGGCTGTGCTGCAAATCCCGCTGTTAGAACGGGAGGCTGAGCTTTTATAGGGTGAAACCACGGAGTGTCAGTGAGGCATTGCTGGGGGAGCCCTGCCAGCTCAGCACAACTCTATTTGTCCTCAAATAAGTCATTGCTGCTCTCTGGCTCCTCTCAGGAAACATCTGTCCCCCACAGCCCCTCCAGTGCCAGTTACTCTCAGGAAATGCTGGGTTTCACATCCTTGTGGTGTTTAATTTTGGGTTATTTGAGCCAGGCTGCTCTGAGCTTTCCTCAACACCACCAGCAGCGTGAACTCCCCCTCCACTGCTGGTAACTTTGCAATTAGGTGAAATCTGAGCTGTTTCACCCTAATTGTGTCCTGCTACAAGTGGGTGTTGTTGAAGTTCCCCTACAAAATCAGGGGCTTCCTTGGGAGCAGGAGGGGCAGAAAGAGCTGAGGGTCACAGTGGGGAGGGGGAACAGCAGGAAAACCAGAATATCTCAGTGAGCTGCTGTCCTCACCTACAGCCATTCCCCATTGCAGCCCAGCCCCATGGCCCCCAGACCCTTCCCTGGCCCTGATGGAATCCCTTGGAATGAGGAGGAGGAGGACAGGATATGGGCACCCCATGACTATCCCCCACCGCTCTGCTGGGATGACAGGGAAGAAATCCAAGGACCTGTGGATGACTTTGGAGAGGGCTGGCACCCGGTGAGGGACAGATGGGCCGAGGGGGTGGCAGCTTTGTGAGTGTCCCCAGCATGTCACCATCCTCATGGGCACCCATTCCCCATTGCAGCCCAGCCCCAGGGTCCCCAGACCCTTCCCTGGCCCTGATGGAATCCCTTGGAATGAGGAGGAGGAGGACAGGATATGGGCACCCCATGACTATCCCCCACCACCCCCCTGGGATGACAGGGAAGAAATCCAAGGACCTGTGGATGGCTTTGGAGAGGGCTGGCACATGGTGAGGGGGAGATGGGCTGGGGTGGGGGGGTGTGACAGCTTTGTGAGTGTCCCCAGCGTGCCACCATCACTCATGGGCACTCATTCCCTGTTGCAGCGTCACCCCAGGGGTCCCAGACCCTTCCCTGGCCCTGATGGCATTCCTTGGAATGAGGAGGAGGAGGAGGACAGGATATGGGCACCCCATGACTATCCCCCACCCCCCTGGAATGGCAGAGGATACATCCAAGGACCCGAGGAGGACTTCACACAGGACTGGTTCCCGGTGAGGTTGTGGGTGGGGGGGTGGTAGCAGCTGCAGGACCGAGGCTGGGGAGGGGGCAAAATGGGGCAGGGGCCACTCAGTGCCCCGGTGACCAGGGCAGGGCGTGGGGATGGGTTTCCCAGCTCAGCCTCCACTCTGCAGGATTCCCATCCCATTCCCTGGCTAAACCCACCCCTTTCCCGCAGGAGCTGGAGCCCAGCCCCTGTCCTGAACCACCCCAGGAGGAGGAGCAGCCCCCACCTTGGCCTCCTGCTGGCCCACCCGGGTGGGTGCCGTGCCTGGGGTGGGGTCCAGGGGGTCGGTGTGGCTGTGGGGTGGCACAAAGGGGCGCTGGGGATGGGCACTACGAGGGGGCACAGCCACGGGGTGACACTCCTGGCTCTGCTCAGCACTGGGGGGGTTGCACTGGAGCCCCCTTCCTAAAATACTGGCCCTGGGGCTGCCTTTGCTGCTGCAGGAGGCGAGGAGGGGTCCATGGCATGTGGCCCCCCTGGGACTGTCACCGGCCGGGGGGGAGACGCTGCCGACGCCTTCGCAGGAGCCACCGGGAGCTGACCCTGATCTCATTTGAGAGGGGTCCCAGACCCCCCAGAGGTTTGTGCTGCCCCTGTTCCTGCTTCCTTGGTGCTCTCCAGCCTCTCCCTGGGCAGAGCCAGGAGCCACTGCCGTTGTTTCCCGCTCCACAGGGCACAAATCGTCCTCCAGGGCCTCTCCTTCCCTCCCCAAGAAGAGCCAGCCGGCAGCCAGGACAGAGCTGCAGCCCCCCGCTCCTCCCCAGCCACGCACGTCCCCACAAGGTCCTGTGGAGAGGCCGGAACAGACCCAGGTTGTGGGGTTTTACCTGCCCCCCCTGCCCCATCCCAGCTCCCAGCTTGGTCTGAGCCCTGTGTGGTGTTGTGGTTTCCCCCAGGACCTGCCAGAGGGCAGTGGGGAGGTCCCCAAGACCCCTGAGCCAGCCAGGACCCCTCCAAGGAGCCCGGCCAGCGATCCCTGTGCTGCGGGGCCGGAGCAGGCGGCTCCAGGGACACCGGTAGGAGATTCCCGGGGCAGGCAGGGGTGTTGCACCCCCAGGGCTGCCTGGCTCTTGGACCACTGTAACGTCTCCCTCCTCTCTCTCATCCAGCCCTTTCACTCTCCACCTGGCTGTCTCCTTGCCGGGCGTGGGGTTTTTCCAGACTCTGCCCTGTGGTTTCCTTTGGGGTTTAGCACCCTCTGGGTCCTGTCCCCAGCTCCTCTCCCAGGACAGATGTGTCCCAGCCTCACACCATTGCCTGTCCCCAGGTTGAGCCAGGAGCTGAGCAGACACCTCTGGGCAGCCAGGACCAGGATCCCTCTGCTTTGGGAACGGAGCCAATCCCACTGGAGGAGAACTCTGCCAGGGCAGGGGAGCACCTCGAGGTATGGGATTCCCAGGGAGCGGCACAGAGTCAGCACAGGGCTCCCCAGATCCTGCCCCCCAGCAGCACTCAACCTCCCTTATGGGTAGTTTTTATTCCCACCACATTCCCCTTTCCAGACCCTTTTTCCCTCACTGTGGGCTCTGCAGCTCACCTGTAACTCTTTGCACAGGTAGAGCCCTGCAGTCCAGCTGTCCCCGAGGCTGGCACAGGGGATGGGTCACATCCCCAGAGCCCAGCAGCCCCTCTGGATCCCGCTGAGAGGGAGCAGCTGGCACCCAGCTGCTCTGGAGAGGCGGGTGCTGAGCTGAGCCCCCGTTCCCGGGGAGAGCAGCGTTTGCCAAGCGGAGCTGGAGAAGCCGAGGCAGAAGCTGCCGGTGATGGGGTGGGTCTGAGCGCACGGGGCAGCTCTGTGGCGTGTCCCCCTCCCCAGGTGAGAGCCCCTGGAGGCCTCTGCTGCAGGTGGGGCTGTGCTGGCAGCACTGGCTGCCCCCTCCTGCACAGCCCCCGCCGTCCTCCCCCAGCCCCTCTCTCTCCCACAGCTTCTCGAGAGCCTTCAGCCACCTGAAGACTCTCAGGTGCCACCAGGACCTGCAGCAGAACCTGATGCACAGCCCAGCCAGGCTTGTCCTGATACCTGCACCTCACCAAGGACCTCACCAGGGCCCCAGCACCCTCCTGGCTCCAGTGAGACAAACCCGGTACAGGGTCTGGGTGCCCCCCTGGGTCCCCATGAGGGCTTGGGGGCACTGCCACAGCAGGAGCAGTGGAGGGGGACCCTCTGGAACCCCAGCAGGATTCCAGGCTGGGGTTAAAGAGCTGCTTTGTCTGGAGGCAGAGCCCATATCGGCCCCTGATGCCAATAAATGGGAGAGAGCTGGAGAAAGGCCAACAAAATAGCTGAAGGCTTGGGAGTGTGAGGAGTGTGAACGACCAGGGACTGGAGCTTAAACAAAGCCAAGGAGAGCACTCTAGAGCAGCTTAATTACTGCCTAATGGGGGACAGAAATCTGCTGGAAGCTCTTGCTGCCAGTGCTGGGGCAGAGGGGGAGCGGGGGCAGCTCTGGCACCCAAGGGAAGGGGGGAACCGGCACCCTGGGGTCCCAGCAGGTCCCTCAGAGGGCGACCAGACCCTCTCCCTGTCCAAGAGTCCGATCTTTCCTTTCCTTTCCCACCCCCCAGGCTGGGGACGGACAACAGCAGCTCTGCCTCGGGCTCCCAACACCCTCCCCATCCCGCATGGATCTCCGCTCCGCCGCCATCCTCGCCAGGAAGGAGGAGATCGAACTGGTGAGTCCTGGAGGCCCCTGGCTGAGGGGTGGGGGGGGCTGGGACCTGCTGCTGGGTGGGTTGGGGCTCAGCCCAGGACCTTCTGAAGCGATGCTGGGTGACGAGATGTGAACTTGGCATTTTGGGGGGCACTGAGAAACCCCTCCTGGTGGTGGTGGTGGCTGTAGGGAAGCTGCTCAGAAGGGGTTTGCAGGGGCTCAGATGCTGCCAGGAGGGTTATGGACCAAAAAATGGGAAGGGGGTGAGGAATACCCCTAAGGGGAGCTGCATGCTGCTGGTTTTTGGGGTGCTGACCCCGTGGCCGGCCCTGCAGTCGTACCAGCAGTTCAGCCTGAACATCGCCGTGGTGGCCACGATGCTGCTGCAGAAGGAGCCCTCCATGGAGGCGGCCCTGGGGCTGGCACTCAGGGCCAACCTGCGCCAGGGCTGGATCCACCACCTCCGGGAGCTGGAGGATTTCATCGACAGCTACGACTCGGCCACCTCCGGCCCCTGAGGGGACACCCCCTCCTCCAGCCAGGCTGGGAGTGATGAGGGGCCATGCCAGGGCACTGCTGTGCTCAGGTGCTGCTGAGCCTGGGGCTCAGGGTGGCACGGACACGGTGGCAGTCCCACCATATCTCCTGGAGGAGGAGGAAGGTGGGGGTATGCTTAGTTTTAGCCCTGCCCAAACCTCTGTGTGCAGCCAAAGGAGGAGTTGGTGTTACTGGATGGTGGTGGGAGGGAGGGAGAGCAGCAGCTCCTCTCCTCCATCCAGGCTCCTCACTCCATTCCTGGTTCCCAGGGATGTGCCCACAAACCCCAGGAGTTGTTCTTGGGTTTAAATCTAAAAATAAACCCTGTTTTTGTTGCTGCCCTCACTCTGCTGTCATTCTGATCCCGCTCTCCTCGGGTTGGTGAAGGAAGGGTCCTACAGTGAGCCCAGCATGGGGGATGTGGCAGAGGCCAAAGGTCACCCCTGAGGATCACACTGCTCTGGTGGCACGGTCGGTGTCACAGTTGGGTGGGGAGGAATGTGACCCTCCTGCATTCAGATTTCAGCCAAACTTTATTGGAGCTTCGTCACTGGCAGCAGCAGAGCTGCCTCCCTGGCCCCTCCCTTAGGTGGCACCAGAGATGGAGAGCACGTGGCAGTGGTGCTCATCCTGCAGGGAGGGGTCCCAGGGAAGGATCCAAAGGATCCAGCCCTGGCCCAGGGGTCTGGTGCAGGCAGCTGCCCTTGTCTGGAGCACGGGCTGCTCTCCCCGCTGTGTCTGAGGTGCTGCAGCCCTGGTGAGCTCTGCTCCCTTCCTGCTTTACCTGTTCCTAATTGCGGGAGAGGCCGGCAGGAATTGCAGGCTGTGCTTTGCCAGCAGCTGCCGGCAGGGAAGGATCCCAGCAGCTTCTCCCACCAGCCTTGGGCCTCGTCCAAACCACACTTGGAACATGTTGAGACCGTGGCAGGACCCAGCAGGGGCTGGCAGGACATCAGGGCCCCCCTGTCCGCACTGCTAGGACACACTGCAGTGCCTGCTGCTGCCCCGGGGCTTGGCCGTCCTGCCCCCGGCCTTCCCCGGGGGCTCCCTGCCCAGGGAGTTCATCCCGGGCTTGGGGATGGGCTTCCCAAAAAAGAAACCCTCTTCCTCCGAGTCTGAGTCCGAAGATGAGGAGCAGGTGGGACACCAGGAGTCCTCCTCCTCCGTGGCGTCCTGCAGGTCAGTGTGCTCCGGCCGGGGGCTGTGTCGGGGTGGGGATGTGCCCGCTCGGGAGGGTGGGTTTCCATGGCCCGGGGGTGTTCGGGGGTCTGGGCCCCCCAAAACCGGGTGGCCCAAGGCTCCAGGCTCGTTGGGCCCCTCTGGGCTGGGCTGGGGGGAGGAGGGGTGGGTGGCTGGTGGTCCCAGCATCCCTGTGTGCACAGCATCGCTGCTCCGCTCCTTGGCGGCTGCTCCGTGGTCCTCCGTGCTCCTGAAGGCAGGATGCACAGGGGCCTGATCCAAAAACGCCTCTGGAAGAAGGAAAGCAAGGGTAAATGAGGAAGGAGAAGGCTGAGCCTGCCCTCCCACAGCCCCCTGTGCAGCGAGGGCTGCCTTGGGACATCACGGGGGGTGGTAGCAGCCCAGCCCCTGCTCTCACCGCTCGCCCTCCCACAGGAGGTGGGCTGGGGGCTCATCACCACTGCTCCAGCCCTAAACTGGGCTGGCCCCATGAGACATTCCCCATGAAGTACCCAGGGGCTGAGCAGAGCCTGGAATTGCTCCCGCTCCCCTCCCTAGGTGCAGTAGGATCCTACCAGCCCCTTCCACGCGCTGCCTGCAGCCCCCCGGGGCCGAGGGGCCGCCAGACCCCGGTGCGGTCCTGCCGGCAGGGCCGGCTCGGGAGAGGGGCGTCGAGTCCGGGGACGGAGCCGAGGCAAAGGCCGAGTCGGAGGAGTCGGAGGCGCTGGAGGAGGAGGACGAGCCGTGGCGCAGGCTGCAGGCGTCGGAGCAGAAGAGGCGGCCGCGGCGGCAGGTGAGGGGCTGTCCCCGCAGCGGCTTTCGGCACAGGCTGCAGCAGAAGCAGGCGGCCCGGGCGTGCCAGTGCAGCCCTTGGTGCGTGGCCCCCTCGCTGTCAGCACCTGGGGGGCAACCGCGGGTGAGGGGGAGGCTCTTCCCGTGCCTGTGTGCCAAAACCGTCCCCCGCTGCCTTCCCAGCCCACAGCCCGCCTGCCCCGCAGGGATTGGCAGCCCTGCTGGGCTGGGGTCAGGCCGTACCGATGGGGTCCCCGCAGGCCTGGCAGGGCTCGGCGAAGAGGCTCTCGAAGCAGGCGCGGCAGCAGGGCCGGCCGCTCCTCATCACGTAGCGCTGCCCGCGCAGGGGAACGTCGCACTCCAGGCAGCAGAAGTGCTCCAGGTGCCAGCGCCGGCCCTCGGCCTCGATGCACTCCTCCATGAAGATCAGCTGGAGCGGGAAAACAACCCATCCTCTCAGCACCCAGCGGGAAAACCCCTCGTCTGGAGGATGCTTTGCCACGCTGAGGAGTGAGGAAGAGCCCCTGAACCGTGGTACGGGCAGGAGGATCTCAGCGAGGCTCAGGAAGGAATATTTCCTCCTACCCATCAGTGGTTCTTGCTGGATTTGCAGCCCCCAGCCAAGAGAGGGGCTTTTAGCAAAGCCTCCCCCTGCCCAGCACCCACCTGGTCGCAGGAGGCACAGCGGGGTCGGAAGAGCTCCGCGTGGTGCCGGCCACAGTAGATCCTCCCATCCTGCTGGAAGTAGATGAGATCCACCAGCGGCTGGTGGCAGAAGTGGCAGGAGAAGCAGGACGGGTGCCAGAACTGGTCCCCCAGCCGAGACACTGAAATCCCCGGGTCGCCTTTGTTCAGCCTCCTGCCGCACTGCAAGGCAAAGGGACACGGGGTTTGGGGCCAGCCTGGCTTTTGGGGACAGATCCCAGGCAGGGATTGGGTCCTGGTGGAGATGCCTCACCTTCCTGCAGGGACAGCCATGGCAGGGACCGGGCACGGGACATGCCAGCCCCTGGCCCAGAGCCTCCCGTCTGCGCCGGGCGCTGAACGCTCGCAGCTGCCGCCGCTCCTCCTCGGCGAGCTCGGGGCAGTACCGCTCCTGCACGGGGGCACGGGGGTGAGGGGGGCACGGGGGTGAAGCCCAGGGTGGGCAGCACCCAAAAATAGGCATCTTACATCGCAGTCCTGGGGAGGCAGCTGCTGCAGGAGGGCTCTGGCGCGGAGCCGCGTCCTGTCGGAGGGAGAGCCGGGCTGCGGCGAGCGGGGCCCGAGGCACGGCGGGGCCTTGGGATGGGGCACAGGAGAGAGAGACAGGCAGAATTTTAGGGGGATTAAGCTGCATTGCTAGAATGTGTTTAATCCCAGGGCTCTGCCGTGGGAACCTCCCATGCACGGCACCCACGGAGCTGGGGGAGAGCGGGGGTGCTGCCCACCTCGGGGGGCGCGGGGTCCGCAGTGGGTTCCAGGTACTCTTCCAGGGCACAGCCGGAGTCGCTGTCGGACGAGGCCGGAGGGAGGCCGGTGGTGGTGCCGCAGGACGGGGGCTCATCTCGCTGGGGCCATGCAGGGCGAGGCAGGGACATGAGCTGGGGAGAGACAGCGTGGGCTGGTGAGACCCTCGGCAAGGCAGAGAGGAGAGACCGTTCCAGGACACGTGATCTGTCTCCATGTGGCAGCAGGATGAGCAGCCCCTTGTCCCAGGGAGGGACCCTGGAGCAGGTCCAGCTGGGAGGATGCTCAGTGTCACCATGACCTCGAGACTTTTGGCTGAACCACTGCAGGAGTTCAAGGGCTTTTGGGGGCTGCTTTCTCTGCAGGAGTTACAGCAAATCCACATCGAGGGTGCGGGCACTCAGCAGGGCTGGGGCTCTGTCTGCCAAGCAGGAGGCGCTGGGAGGGGATGGGATGGTGATGGGTTGAAACCAGGCAGGGAAGACCCCGAGTGTCCCAGCTCAAGCTGGAAGAGGTTTTGGAAAACAGCCCCGGCTTTTTGCTCACCCTCAGCAGGAGATTTTCCCCAACTGCCACCAGTCCTTTGCTGGGTGGTGGCCAACCCTGGTCTAGTGGCCCAGCCCTGAACAAGGCAGTGGGAACAGACTGAGGTTCAGCCCAACTCAGTGGAAAATAATTCCTTCCCCTTGGGCTGCCATTGTTCTGCCCCGGGCGGCTGTTCCTGCCTGGCTGGCCCAGCCACCACCACCACGCCTGGCCCGGGGTTACGCAGTGGAAACCCATCCAGAGCCGTTCCCTCCTCCCCACGCAGCGCTTTCCACCACGCGCTTCCTTCCTGCCCTGGCTTTCCAAAACAAAGGCGAGCTGGTGATGTGGTGGCTCCTGGGGTTCCCTGGACGCCAGCCCAGAGCCTGAAGCCCTCAACCCGTGATTCCTGCCCCGGTGGGATGCAGGTGGGCTGTGGGTGGGATGGAGCTGAGCTGCTGCTCCGGGGGAGGAAGTCACAGTGACCAAACGGCCCCAGGGCACCCCTGGATTCACCCTGTGCAACGCCCACCATGGATTGATCAGCTGCTCTGCAAAGTGTTTCCATGCAGAAAACAGCTCACCTCGGGCTCAGGGCTGAGGGGTGGGAAGCCCCAAACTGTCTACCTGGGCCCTCCTACTCCTCTGCCACCATGAGGACCCGTTCCCTTCTCTGCACTGGGATGGTACCGGTGTATCCCCCCTGCCCTCACTGTTAGGGACATCCCAGCCAGCACCAGCATCCCCACTGCTCCCTCTAAACACCTCCAACACTCCCAGCTCAGCCCCTGCTCCCAGTGTGCCCCTTCCTGTGCAGCATCTTGGGGTGCTGGGACGTGGCACCCAAACGTGGCAGCTCTGGAGTTGGGAGCAGGTGGGATCAGCCCGGGCAGCTCAGGTTTCCCTGCCCTGCAGCTGGGTCAATGATTAACGCTGCACATTGGCTAATCAGCGGGATAAAACAAAAGGGCTGCTTGCTTTTTCCTGGGCTGTGGGGTCTGCCAGCCCTGGGGCAGTGCAGGAGGGTGCAGGGCAGGTTGCAGGGTGCTGTTCAAAGCTGTGCTTTGGGATAGGGATGAAATAATCTGGCCTAACTCTGTATTTGCAGCTCAAGGAGAGCCCTGGCTTTGCTGGCTTGGTGAGGGCCCATTGCTGGGTGAGGAAACAGCCTTGGCTCTACAGGAGGAGCAGGATTGTGAGTCCCTGAGGATGCTGAGTGGGGATCTCCGTGGGCTCAGTGTGCGGCCCCAGCTCTGTTTCTGCCTGGTTTGGGTAATGTGCCCTTGTTTCTCTCTCCCCAGTGGGAGGCATTCCCAGGCTGTGCTTGGCTCATTAAGCCTCCAAGCTGCATTTGTCTAATCTGCTGGGGCTTTGCTGTAATTAGACCCCTCTGATGCTCC